CCTATATGAGGTCTTGGATCCCAATCTAGTTATTGGGCCATGTTTTTATGGTAGGCTATTTATTTTTGCTTTAGTATTAATTAATGGCATGTGGATGGCGACAAAAAAAAAAAAAAATTCAGTGCATAAATGGGAATTTTTAGTATGAATGTATTGTTTATAAGACCAACCGTTTGCTCTTAATGCATGCATATTAATTCAGGAGTTTTATCAACAATGAGTATATCACACTAGTCGTTTGAATTAAAAGTGATTATGGAACAAATATATTAATATGATATATTTGGAATATAAAGGCTTTATAAATTTGGGGATGCTTTTTTACGCATGTAATTAGAAATGCACGTGTAAGCATGTATGAGACATTATAATTATTTTGTTATGAGCATTACTGTAATACCCCAAAAATTTCTAGAATAAATAAGTGAGTTAGGGACTTGATTGTGAGAAAAGATTGTTTTGGCGTCTAATGTGAATATTTCAAAAGTTGAGGGACTTAAAGAGGGAAAATAATTGGATAAGGATGGCTTCTTTTCTTTTTCTTTTTCTTTCTTTCTTTTCTTCCTCAGACCCGCGCCTGCTCTTCTTCTTCTTCTCCCCGCTGCAACCCGAAGAAAAAAAAAAGTAAACCCAGCCATGCCTTGAGGAAACCGGTAGAGAGCTTGATTTTTTCCTTCTTTTCTTGTCCAAGAACCTGATTTGGAACCCAGAAATCTTCCCCCCCTGCTGGAAAATCCGGATCTGCTCTGCTCCTCCTCTTCACCGCCGGCTGCTCCTGTTTTATGGGGGCGAATTGCTCGGTTTTTTGGTAAGAAATAGCTCGAATTCTCCCTTCTTTAGCTTTGATTTAAGTTGGGCTCCTTTAATTTTGAGTTAAACCGTGAGTCCCCTGCAGAATTTTCCTTCCATGCCGCCGGCTCTTCCCCAAATTGCAGCTCCGGCCTTGCTTGCTGGATTCTGGTATGTGGCAGCCTTAAACCATTGTTTTTAAGCTTGATTAAGGTATAATTAGCTTGATTAATTTGCTGCCCTATTGTTGTCCGAATTTGGCTGGAAATTGGGGATGAATTTTGGTAGTAATTAGAGCATAATTAAGCTTAATTCATGTGTAAATTGCTTGAGTTGATTGCTGTGATTTTTGGAGAGAAAATCCCGTGAATTAGCTAGTGTTTTGGCCAATTTTTTGGAAGTTGGAGTTACTGTTCACGTTGTTCACGTTGGGTACTGCTCACGAGAACTGTTCATGGGCACTGTTCACACACCGAGGGTCAACAATTAACGGGAATTTAAATGATTAGTTTGTGATATAAGAACAAATTTGGAGATATTTGATTATGTGGAGATTGATAGGAAATAGCATCGGGATTAAGGGTGATCCTAATGAAGTTTTTAGTTTGAATTTGTGATAGTATGGTATTGATCCTTGAATATTTTGATTAGGTTCCCGATCGTTTTGTCAGTTAGCACTGAGATTGAGTGCTCGGTTTTATGCGAGTGAGGTAAGTAAATTTATGGTAATGCCCGTATAGTTTTTAAAAGCATGTTTTGACTTGTTTTTGAAGTGGTGGTGGGACTAAACCCGTTTTACATGAGCATGATTGATTTGAAGTGAAATTTTTATACTTTTCATTAAATTGAGCATGCCTACTTGAAATTTAATTGATTGTCCTGATGATTTGAAAGTGATTGGTAAATTATGATTTTGCTGTTAACTTCTGCCTGTTTTGTCTCCGATATGGTCATGTTATTCGTGTGCCCGCTAGTGGGAAGTTTATAAACGCTAGTACATGTCGACATGTTACTGATAGAACCAGTTCGTTTCTGTTATCCTGCTAGTGGGATTATACACTAGTAAATTGTGTGCCTGTCAGTGGAGGTTTATAACACTGGCCGTGACCTATAGAGGAGACGTCTATTTCGTTCTCATATTGTATCCGTTTTTCGTGATTATACTTGTTGGCATGCTATAAGTTTAATAAGGGCACTTCATATTTACTTACTGAGTTTATCTCATAGTTTTTCCTTGTCCACCATTTTAGGAAGCGAAACCGAGGACAGGGAAGCCACGGGAAGTAACGAGTTAGAAGGCTAGCCATTTTGAGATTGATGTAGATTTTAGATAGGGATCATGATTTTGTAAACCAGAGTGTATTGGAGATTTATGATATCAGAGCAGATTTTAAGATTTTATCTTCAGATTTTGTGGATCGTCAGATGTGAATTTGATAAGTTCCGAGCCTTGTGTACTCGTGGGACTTGTCTCACGAGTGTACGGCGTCTATCGTGTCCTCGGATTTGGGTTCTGGGGCGTGACAATTACTATGCACCATTGATATATAATTAAATAGATGATTATTATTTTTAACGGTTAAAAAATTGGTGAATAAATGTGTATTTAATTAACCATATTATTGAGTTCTTTGATGAAACAGGTGAAAATTTGAGAAATCAAGTGAAAAGACTATAGAAGAGAGAGCTACCCAATTTGGTCCATCCAATTATTTTAGTAAAAGATGGACATGAAATTTGGGTCAATTTATTCTAGAAATGTAAGTTAAATTTTTTTAAGCTTGCATGATTGAGGAGCCATTTGTAGTGATAAATGGGAGATGAGCTAATAAGCTCTCATGAAATCTTGTGAGAAAAAATGAGTTTCTTCATGAACTCAATTATTTGAAAAATGTGAGAATCAAATATTTGAGATGCTCCCAATGTGGGGGATTATGGTATCCCTATGTATTATTATTGGTGATAAGACCAATGATGCCTAATTGAAATTTTGTATAACATTCCTATCATACAATAAGGTATAATGGTACTTAACAAAGCAAATGTGATATGTATTCCTATTATACAATTATGGTATAATGGTGTAAAATGAAAAAGAATAAGACACTTTACTTGACTATAAGGGACATGTTATGATGGACATTCCTATTGTACAACAAGGTATAATGGTGTTTGAGTTAAAAATTCTTAAATATATGTCTCTACATATATGAAAAGAAAATGGTGGTTTACTAACTCGAATTGACATTAGAATTGTGGTATCATGAATTGAGAATTTAAGAAAATATGAATGTAAATTTTATGAGCTAATAGACATGTGGGTTGATGTGAAAAATTGAGAAAAAAAAAAATGTGTTAAATCTCTTTGTTACCCATTTGGCCACCAACTAGGCCTTTGGTAGAGAGAAAGGTTGGAGGAAAAACTATGATCATAGTCCAAGGTCTAGTGCTCATTGAGGGGAATGGGATTCAAGCTCAGTAATGTAGAACTTATGAGGATACCCAACTTGAATTATGAGAATTGGGTTTCAAATGTGAAAAATGAATCATAAAGAAATCATTGTTGAAAGATGCATCAACATTTAATGGAAAAATTTCCAATCTCATTTCTAAGGTGAGGATGCATCTATCCCATAATGAATTGAGGATTGAGTTATATACTCTTAATAAAATCCGTAGCTCAATGAGTAGAGTGTTTTAGTTATGGGAGCACTCTTGGCAAATTTCACTTCTATGGGTGTCGAACTGAGGTCGTTTTTATGAAAATTAGATGGGCAATTTTCTAAATCACCCATGAAAACTGGGATCATGATTAGGGCCATAATGAGCTAGGCAATGTTGTCAAAATCGAGATTTTACCTAAAATTGTTTTGGGTAGGTAAAATCGAAATCGCAAAATCAAATTAGTAAAATCGAGAGTTTATTAAATTTAATAAATAAATAATAAAAATTTATACTTTTATATATTAATATAACTAAAATTCAACAATAAAGAATCAAATATGAGATTATAATTTACAATAACTCTAACAAAATTAAATTTTAATATTATAATATATGATAATATAAAAAATTTAAAAAATTATTGTTTAAATTAAATCACACTTACCTTCTTTATCCAAAAATTTTAAAATATATATATAAACAAACACCCAATCCCATTATCCTACATGTGTCAACATAATCCCCACTAAAATTGATACCCCTCCATCCCTTCACCAATTCACCTTGTTTTCTTCACTATCATTTTCCCTCTTTTCTACCATTTCTCCTCCATTCAAGCTCTCTTTCTCTTTATCTACTCCTTTTTTTTCAACAGATTTTTATCCTTCTTTGCTTGAGCAGTGAGTAGTAGTAACCAACTCCTACTGTGTAAGGTTGGCTTCAAATCATTTGGGTCACCACTTACCAAATAGATTTCTGTTTGGCTAGCAACTTTTTGTTTGAGCAGTGAGCAACGAGCAACAACATGAGCAACAATAGCGTAAAATCAAGATTTCAAATGATTTTATTGTAAAATCATGATTTTACGATTTTACCCATGATTTTATGGAAATCTGATTTTAACATAGATTTTATTCAAAATACATACCCAAAATCATAAAAATCAAGCGATTTTATGATTTATAAAGCGATTTTGACAACCATGGCGTTAGGCCATAATGCACTAGTGATGTGAAAAAACTCAAAATTAGGATTATTATGTATGTGATGCAATTCTTGTATCTTCCAATGGGGTCATAGTTTAAAACTTTGTTCACTATTGACTTTAGATTAAGAATTGTTGACTCACTAAGTAAAAATTTAAGGTTTAGCTACCTTTATTATGCAGAATAATCCATCTTTGCCCGAAAGAAAGTTTTTTTTTTTATTAAAATAGTGGGAAAATTGTTGGAACTTAAATATTTTAATAAAAAATAAAATAATATGTTTTATAAATAGAATTTATTATCCCATTAAGGACTTAGTTAAATTAGCCATTGTAGATTAATTATCCTATTTAAGGGCACATTATTACAAAATAATTGCCCAATTTATTCTTATCATTAACCTACAAATTAGAGTTACAAGACTATGAGTCCTATATATAAGACATGTCTTTTTGCTCAACTAAGGGAGTTCCTCCACACTCTTTTACTTTCTTACCTTACTTTATCTTCAAAATATTTTTGGATAAAGAAGGATGTTTTGAGTTTGGTGACTCTATGGGTAATGCAGATTTATAGAGTGTTATTGTAAAGTTGTAACATCTTGCAGGTGACATGCTATATATATTTGCTACACCGATCAATTTATACTCCGTAAAGGCGTGAATTACCTTAAAGTAAGTAAGTTTTTCATGCCTATTTTGATGATAATTTCTTATTGATATTTTCTGATAAGTTGACTAATTATTATTTTATTTGATTTTGTGATCGAGACACAACAATAACATCATGTGGAGATGGAGATGAATGTTCGAGGATGGCATTAGGTCATACTGCGCTAGCTATGTGAAAACACTCAACATTCGGATCATTATATATGTGATACAATTCTTGTATCTTCCAGCTATGTGAAAAAACTCAACATTCGAATCATTATGTGTGTGATACAATTCTTGTATCTTCCAATGGGGTCATAGTTTAAGATTTAATTCACTATGGATTTTGGATTAAGAATTGTTGAGTCACTAAGATTCAAGGCTTAGCTATCTTTATTATGCAGAATAATCCATCTTTGCCCAAAAGAAAGGTTATTTTTTTAGTAAAATAGTAGGGAAATTGTTGGAACTTAAATATTTTAATAAAAAATAAAATAATATGTTTTATAAGTAGAATTTATTGTCCCATTAAGGATTTGATTAAACTAGCCGTTGTAAATTAATTATCCTATTTAAGAGCAAATTATTACAAAATAATTGCCCAATTTATTCTTATTATTACCTTACAAATGAGAGTTACGAGACCATGGGTCTTATAAATAGGACATGTCTTTTTGCTCCACTAAGGGAGTTCCTCTACATTCTTCTACTTTCTTACCTTACTATCTTCAAAATATTTTTGGGTAAAGAAGGATGTTTTTGAGTTTGGTGACTTTATGGGTAGTGCAGATTTATAAAGTGTTATTATAAAGTTATAACATCCTGAGGTGACAAGCTATATATATCTTTATTACACCGGTCAATTTATACTTCGTAAAGGCGTGAACCACCTTAAAGTAAATAAGTTTTTCGCACATATTTTGATGATAATTTCTTATTGATATTTTCTAATAAGTTCACTAATTATTATTTTATTTGATTTTGTGATCGAGACATAACAATAACATCATGTGGAGACGGAGATGAATGTTCGAGAAACAACAGTAGTTTCATTCAATTGAAACTTAACAATTACAATTTAACAAAAAAATGAGTGCTACAATCACAATAATAAAAGCCTTCCTTTATTTACTTAGGAGACATCTTAATAGTTAATAGTTTGAATTTTCATGTCAAGAGTTTTAAATTTAAATTATAGATAGGTGGAAAAGAGTTTGAGAAAAAAAAATAATTATCACTTACTAAAATATCTATAATTAAATATTCCAATAAAAAAAAGGTCTTCCTTGTATCCAAACAAAGCAAAAGGAAATTAGGAGTTCCATAAAATTGTTGCATGGTTATATATTATTTAATAATTAATATTTTTATTAAAATTTTTAATATTATGTGTATTCACTTATTTAATTATATATTCAAATTTTATTTTATTACGTTATAAAAAATTGTTAAAATTTCAATAAATTTTGAATAAATACTTTATGGGCATTTTAAAATCTTTAATAAATTTTTAATAAATAGTAAATAAGTACCTAACAAGCTTATTAAAATCTTCAATACAAATTATAATTTTTATAATAATTTTTTTAGACACATAACTTCGACATTATATTTTCATTAATAATATTTTCTTTTCATATAATTCTATTTTAATTTAACTTTAACTACATCAATTATATTTTCAATAAGAGTACATTTATTTACATTTTTACTATTAATTTGTATAAAAATTTTAACATCAACACCACCTTCAATGATTTAATTGGGGACAGTTGATAAAACTTAAATCAGTTTTTATTTTTTCCATATAAATTAATGATGAAAATGTGCAATAATTACAACCTTAAATTGTATTATAAGAACACATGTTAGAAAATTTCTTTTAATAATAGTATTTTTTTAGGTATTTTTAATAGAATAAGGGTTCATTTACATATAAATTTTATATAATACACTTATATAAAATCTCAGCCATTCATCTCCACTTTCAATAGTTAAAATTTATTCACATTTATTAAAGATAATTATCTTTTTTACCTAAAAATCATGACAAATCTCAATCGTTAAAAAAAAATAATAAATAATTGAGTTTTTGTATAAGTATAATATGTACAACTAAGACCTCTCACATGGCCAATGTAGGATATGCTTAAGGATACTTAATGTTGACACATCTCCTAGAGTGTTGGAACCTTTTTTTGTGATGAGTTATCATAGATACATATTATATTATATTCAATTGATACTTCACAAATTAATGTTTATTTATTCTATTTTTTTGAGATTAAGAGAGCAATGATTAGGATGTTAATAATTTTAAATAAACATATTTGTTAAAAACAATTACTAAATTATCAAGAATTTTAAATATTTACAAATTGTCACTAACGTGTAAGAAGAGAAAAAAATAATAACAAATAAATTATTAATATAGAGAAGGAAAGTGAGGGTAGATATTGTATGCCATGTATACTCTTTTTTTTTTTTTCTCTCTCTCTCTCTTTTTTGTTGTAGGTAGATTTGAATTGTTTAATTTTTTTTTTGTCTTAAATATATTGAAAGCAATGTTTTAAGACCCGACTCGATGATCAACTCGTTTTGATCACCAGGTCTGGTTCAACCAGTTCAATTGTAACATCCCCTTTTTGGTAAACCTTCTGGTTTATCAAGTAGGAAAATGCACTGCACAA